TATTGAGACGTATGTACTCTCGGCGGCGAGTATTGGCTTTTTATTTAATACTCGACGGAGAGGGAAAAACAGCCAGCGATTTTCGGCGACCAATAAGGCAAATATTATTCACCGGGTGCGCAATAACACAAAAAGCAATCTCGTCGCTTCAATCTCCAGTTCCTTATTCGATCGGCTCTACCGGCTTATTTGCATTTTTACCTGCGGGTCGTCCTCTCTGTGGGTCGTCAACTTGAAACTCAAATATGTTATAATACAAAACTTTTACAAAAATAATAATTGACTCTCAAAATATCAGTAGAAGCCAATCAGGAAGTTTTATAATTGTGAAGTAACAAAATTATTAATAAGACTTTTTACAAATTCGTTTTTGATGAGAGTATTCATATATATTATGGATATTTTTTTCTCTTTCTGGTGACTTTAGCTTATTTGTGGAAAATTATTATAAAAATTTACAGAATTTTCAAGAGAAAAGTATTTTGAGGATTTATAATCTACCAGCCATATCATACTGTCTGTCAACCGTCCGGAGTATCGGTCTCAATTTATTTTTGTATGCATTGGAAGGAGCATTGCGACAAATCTGGTGTACTTCAAAGCCGGCTGGCTAGCCAGAAGAGAAAAAGTAATTTCCCTGAGGATCAAGGAATATCAAACGAAATTAATAAAAAAAAAAAAAAAAACTCCCGTCTCTCCCTGTATCAATAAGTATGAATGTACATACATAGAAACGCTTGCACTTCGTAGAGAAATGTTTATCTTTCTCCGAGGCTTATTTCTTCTTCGAGATGACAACATTGCGGAATTTTTTCTGCTCCACCATCTATTCAATTTTCCGTTTTCCTCCCTCGTCAAAACTGATGAGCAGAAAAATTCAACGCGCTCGGCCGTGAAATTTCCAAGATGGCGCCAGAGTGCGCGACGCAAATTGCAGCTGCAGAGCTCTGGTGCTCCACTCGGCCTCATTCATTTGTCTCGCGCGTTGAGCAGGTCGGGAAAATTATCCGACGCGCCCGGCTCGCGGAAAATCCATCTCGCTGCTCTCTTTTCTGGGGCAACAGCAGCTTACTTGATTGAAAAGCGTCGCGACTCTCGCAAAAACACACCGAGAAAGATGACGCTCTCTAAAATGTAGGCCAAGGAAGAAAAGAATGAAAAGAGCAGGCAAAGTTGTCGAATACAACACGTAAAATGATAAATTCATTAGTATTCCGATTGCTTATTCAATTAAAGACTCTGGGACTTAGAAAATTTCAATAAATTAACAATTATCAAGAAAGAAATAATTTATGAATAAACCGGGAATAAACTTCATTAATTAATTTAACTTACTATATTTTAATTTATATATTTAAAAAAATTAAAAAATTTATTAAGATTGGAAAACATTACATCTGTTTCATCTGACCAAAAAAAGGAATGATAAATTGAAACATATATTAATAATTAATTAACAAAATTATTTTCCTGTTATTTCTCATTTAACATTGTTTTGTTGCAATTTCAAACAATTAATAAAGAATAATATTTATGAAAAGCTTACTCAAAATTATTTCCAAATAATTAGTACATCCTCTACACAAGGTGCCCCTTGTTTAGGAGCGGCGCAAATAGGCTCGGTGGTGGACGATGGCGTTTTCCTCTGTCAATTATCGCACGACTGGGAGCCAGCCTGGCCGGCAGAACGGCGTCGTGCATTTTATTTTAATTCTCACAACACACCAGACCAGAGGTCAGCGTGCAAAAAGCTGCCGTACGCAGGGGCTCGGTACCTTGGCGTACTGTAATTTTGAAATAATGAACGCAGCAAAAGCTAATCCTGTGGCCGGCGAGCAAGGAGATTTGCCGCTCTAATCCTTGTCACAGGAAATTCCCTCTCCGCCGGCGCAAACACTAATCTCCTCCAGCTTTTCCATTTGCTTTCGTACAATTAAACTCTGTCTCTCTAGTGTTATATTTCGCAAGGGGTCCTTGCGAGATGCGTGCGCCTGAAATGAAATTTAAAGCCAGGTAGAAATGAAACGTCGAGGATTAAACGGAGCGTCTAATTTTGAGGGCGCATGTGTCTATAATAAGACACAGATTCCTTGTTAAAACCAAGACGCTCGACTTAACGAGCGTGTCAACTTCTGCTGCTCGACTACGAATCACAATCGGGCCGACTGAGGCATCAAAGGAGCCGCTCGGTTGTTAAATCTTGCGTCAAAATATAGAAGGGCGTCATTAGAGAACACCTTCTCTCGTCATTACACACGCCGCAACCGTGTGTAGGCGTCGAAGACGAATTAAAGCCAGGAATCTGCTGACAACTCATTATTTGCGATGTGTCGTCAAGTGAAAAGTGAAAGGGTGCGAAAAAAAATCAGATTTCTTCCTCAAAAGTCAAAAGGGTGAAAAACTTCAGAAGTCAAATATAAATGAGGAGGCCCGGTATACGTGATATGTGCGCAGTTGAGGAAACTAAAATATTCCATATAACATGCAGAGATTCTCTTTTAATAATAGCACGAAATTTTATATTCAGATAATTTCCCTAATAAAATGTTTTGTTGTTGCAGATGATTTTATATAAATTGTTAAACCATTTTTAATCACTCTAATTAATTAATTTTTTTCAAATTACTCTAGCAATTGGCTATTATTTTATAAAAACTATTTCAAATTTAGTGCTAAATTTAATAATTCAAATCGTTCAGAAAATTTAAAATTATTATGCATTAATTTTTGGTTTAAAATGATTATTTAAATAATAACTCGGAATTCCTTTCTAAAATTTTGAAGATTATTTACGAACAAAAGCAGTGGAATTCATAAATATTAAATTCAAAAACTTTGAAAGTGGTTGTAAATCTTGTAGGTAAACAATTGCATTCGGAGCAAATCGGCTTTGAGAAATTTGAATAGAATTCAATTTCAATGCGGAGAAGCAACCCTCGTCGCTCGCACTGGATAAGAGCAAAACCCCGTAGGTGTGCGCGAACAATAAGTCTGTGCACGCAAATAATGGGAGGTCCCCTCAGCTCTCGGTGACGCGATGAGCTCTCGGCGGTAGCGGATGCAAATGCGTGCGCGCCTAGAGGAATTAGGCGCTCGCTCTCTGCATTGAAAAAGGGGCCCCCGTCGCGCGCTCGGAATTAATGCGAACGTTGATCCGGCCCTCTTTCAAAGTCACCCGTCGGGGATTTCGCGAGAGTATTAATAAAAAGCTGCACCCCCACCCACCAACCCTCTTTCATTCTTTCTCTGATTACGGCCTGTGTGAGCGTAATTTATTAAATTCGTGCGCCCGAACCTGATAATGAGATTATACGGGAGAAAAATCTCCACTTCATTTATTCGTCGCCGACGTCGCCCATTGTGTGCCCCCGTTGTTTGGACGGGGAAAAAAATAACGCCGCAGAATTGTAATCATGAGAAGAGGGAAACAAACCTGCTCACAGTTAGTCCTGCGTGAATAATTAATATTTCTAATTATATTTCCCTCTCTCGCGCACGGCTTGTTGCTGTTTATGCATGCAAATATAAAAGTGCATTTCGTTTGTGTGTTTTATTTTTCCGCCGTTTGCTCTGAATATGAAGCTCTTCGCGCTCCGCCTGCTTTAATACATTTCCATATTAAATGCTGCAAACACGTTTGAAAAACGACATGCGAAATATGTATGCAACTACTCGAGGTAATTAATTTTAATTTAAACATAAAACTTTTGCGCCCGCGGCAAAGCACTGTTAACAACACGAGCTGTAAACAGCGCTATCGTCCCTATTTTATTCGCAGTGCAACACACACGGCCACCGCCATTTGTGATGAAATTTCATTTAAAGTGGCAAAAAAGACAATTATTCGCACCAACGACCTCTCTTAAATGTTGTTTCAAAGTACAGTTACACAAACCAAACTTAATTAATATAGTTTGTTTGGTTAATAATTATTTGTAAAAGTGAGCCCCTGTTAGTTAGGCTAAACACACGGGTGACCAGCGCGTTGCATAAGTGCAAGTTAAGGAAGGCCCTATTGATGTTTGGCCTAATAATATTTTGCAGTTTAAAAGTTAAAAAAGCAAACCGATATTTTCAATTAAAAACAAATGTTGAACTTAAAGAAACTTTCATTTAACTTTTCAATTTTTTATGAAAGTTGCCAATTCTAGATCATTTATTTATAAAAAAAGGATTCTTTTTGTTATAAAAATGTTATTTTGTACAAGCTTTTTTTGTAAAAAAATAATGAATTATTACAATTTGGAAGTGATTTAAATTTTTTTCATTTGTCATAAAGCATTAATCAGTAAAAATTAGAAGTACCGAAATGTTAAATAAAATATGGTTTAACTTAGAACTGAAGACAGTTATTGACATAAAGATACTGTTTAATATGTATCAAGATTTTAAATATTAGCTAATTAACTTTGATGTGAGTGAAATGACAAAATATTAAAACGTTGTGTTTTGCTTTAGTTTGAATTGTAATAGTAAAAGCTGGGAATAATAAACAAATAATAAATGCTGAAGATAGTGGCAATTCGTGTGCCAAAACAAAAGCTGTCGTTTTCCGCTCGAGGAGCGCCGACAGGCGAAATTTCCCCATTCGAATGGAACGCCAAGCACACTCGCCGGCCGGTCCTGCTTTCCAAATGCCTTTCATAGTCGGCTGCCGCTTTTCTGTCTGTCGGTCCGTCTGTCATGCACACGAGTCGTCGCCCTAATTGATACACACGCGGTACCGTCCCTTACTTTATTTCACTCGGCATCGGAGCATTTGTAATTGATGGCGCAGGAAATAAGTTCGGCCAGGTCGAGTGGCTCTCTTTGAACCCGGCCCGTAATTGGACTTTTATTCCGACGGTCTGTCCGTCTGTTTGCCTCTTTCCAATTAGCAGTCGTTTGACCGCTGCCCAGTTCGCGATTTATTGGCGATGCAGAGTACGTTTGCGGTTTCGCCGCTTGCATTCATTTCAAATAGATCCGCGCGCGTTTTCCAATTCTTTAAATGTACTCACCGGCGACGGCGACAAGGAACATGGTGGAGGCTGCTGCTGGCATGGCGATGGTAGATCCGCGACGCCTCATGCCTTTTTCATCGCCTGAACGTATCCTGAAACACAAGTGCCAACAATTTAGAGAAATCAATAGTTTTAAAATTCAATTCTTAAATTTCCTGATCAAAGTTGAAGTGGTAAATTTATTCGATAATAAATTAGCCTTTTTAAATTCAAGGTTTAGAGAATAATTTTATCACAAATTCATAATAATAAAAAAAATTTTTTGGTTTAATTCGTTTTAATACAAATTAAAAAATACGCATATTGTAAAAAATATTTAGGGTGCCTTGGATTTAACTTTCAATAAAATAATTAAATTATGTTGAATTGAAATATGATAAATTTTCAATATCTTTGCGTTTGAGCAATTTTTTTAAGTTGACTGTTTAATATAAATTTAATATTACTCTCTATCAAAGCATTATCGGTGTGTCATAATTATTTAGATAATTTATGAATTCAATTTGAAGAGCCTGAATCAAATCTAATTTAATCAGAGAGATCATCAATTAGAGTAGGATTGAGAACAAAGATTGAAGTATTACGAAACTCTAGTTCAGCCAATGTAATTAAAAAAGCAAGTCACTCCAACAAGTCGAACGTTTTTCCAGCGGAAAAACTCACCACTAGCTAGCTCTCAACTAATGGAAAACCCTCTCCATTATATATTTGGTATTACAGAGTAATTGCTTTCCGGGTCTGATTGACGTTCGTCGCAGTAATTAAAGCCGAGCGAGCGTATTGCAAAGAGCAGGTATACAAAAACACATATCGGGACGTGTATTGGAAATTTAATAGCAAACAATCGAACGTGCTGTTTCGATTTATGGAAACATATTTCAATTATGCTATAGAAATTGTTTGTTTTATTATCACTAGTTTACAATAGCAATATCCAATAAACAGTGACGGGCTTGATTATAAAGAAGAAGGACAAATAAATAGAGTATACTAAAACTATATTATTTTTAAATAACTGTTTTTGATTCTTCATAAATTATAAAGGGATACTAAAATGTGAAGAAGATTGGACTGAACCAGGACAGTCCTCAAACAACTTTATCCAAAAAGTTATTATTTTAAAATAAAATTTCAAGAAGGAGCTCAAATAATATTTTATTTAATATTAATTTTCCTAAATTCAAAGCCAGGCTTTCATGAAAAGCCCTTGAAAATAAATTTATGCTGCAAAGAGGCGGTATCGGAGCATAAATATGTACGTGGGGAGCAGAGGGAGGCGATCGATGACAAGATTGGACGTGCTTTGCTTGTGCATTGTACGTGTATAATGAGTGTCGAAAAAGGCGCTCATTAACAAGCAGGGGAGCATCATTATCGGAGCTTTCGTTATTAATTCCGCGCATCGCTCGCGGCTGCTGCTCGCAACCTACGTACAATAATATATGCATAGCAAGAAACCCAGCCGCGGCTGGAAACACGATCTCAACGCCAACAATGACAGGGCAGTCGCCGCGCGTTATTATGATGCCGACTGCATTTGCGAAACGCGCTGATTTGCTTGCGCGCAGGTTAATTAGCTCGCACTTGTCAGCGTTCTGCCAATTAGTGAATGAGAGAGAAGAGGACGGAGCTGATTAAACAAACAATCGGAGCGAGACACACCCACGTCACGAATGCATCATTCAATTCCTAATTAGCACCGCACTGTATTGCAATTAGGCACTAATTATTGTGAAAATTGACTCTTCTTACATTCTTTTACTTATATTCCTGTTATTCTTTTCTTGTTTTTAAGAAAATGGAAATTATTGGTATTTTTAAACAATCACCAATTAATGAAGAACATGAAATAGATTTAGTCATCAGGAAAATATTTATTAAAAACGAAAAAAATATGATAAAAAACACTCAGTGAGGATAAGGCCACTTTTTCAAGAACATCTGAGAAATACCAATACCAGATCATGAAGTAACAATCAATTAAGCATGATAATATTTTATTTAAGAAATTTTTATTTTCAATTCTTTATTAATTAATTTTGTTAAAAAAAATGAATTTTTGTAATAATTTCAATATTTTATAACTATTAAATTATTTTATAAATTTAACAATTTTTATTTGGGATGTACTGCTTCTTAATGTAAATTTTATGAGCAGGTTAATTTTCATATTTAAATTTTATAGTTCAACTATTTTACTAAGGCCAACTACGATTAGAAAAAAAAAACTGAAAAAGCTCCACATATTTTTGGAAACGGAATTGCGCCGACGTTAACGGCGGAATTACACGTTCTGTTTTTGCCCCCGAAAACAACCACTCATTTTCATCCCCTGTTAGAGGGACGGCTGCTCCTTGTGCCATTTCCTCGGCGTCATTTTTCACGGCCGTAAAAAGTTGGTGCTTTGCCGGTCCGGTCGAGCAAAAACAGAAAAAAAGGAGCGAAACCGCAAAACTGTTTCGCTCGCCGCCGCCGCCGCGATGATTCTTTTTTGCTCGCAATGTCGTTTCTGGGGTGAGGATTGCGTAATGCGTTCTCTCTGGATGCTGCGGTGGTGTAACGAGCAACCACCCCCGGCGGAGCCACCCCCTCACCCGGCAGTAAGAACAATGCCTAGCCGGGTGCACGCGCTAATATATTGTATCTGCACGCACGCCTCTATTTTGTGTGTGTGTGTCGCGCTTTGAATGCGCGCAGCAGCGCCTTTCGCTATCGCGAATTCGTTGCCATTGTCCCGCTAAATGGGAGTGTCTCCATTCAGGGCTTGTGTATGGTGAAAGAGCCTGAAAAGGTAGGTCTCTCTTGAGAAATGGAATTTGTGCGAGTGGCAGCAGCCAGACTGATTCGAGTTTTGCACATCACGTTCGAACAGTGAAAAGACCTACTCGAGTAAATTTTCCACTACAGTACATTTAATTTGCATTCAGTTATCAAGAAAGTTGTTTGGAATACCGATTACTTAGATTCCAAGTAGTTTTTAAAATAAAATAACTTCAATAAAAAAAAGACTTTAAGAAAAAAATCCTCATTGATTTTTTTATTTTAAGTTGATAAACTAATGATTATTAAGGTGCCAATTTTCATTTCATTTGCTCTAGTTCAACATTATCAATTACCACTATTAAATTTTTGGAGAAAAAAAATTAAGAAAAATGCAACCTGCTGGACACGCCTGCTAAGAATTAGTATAGATTGCTGCATAAAAGCGAATCTGCTGCTTACAGTATTTTTACCGTCATTAATCTATTTGTCAATTCAACATTATTTGTTTCTTATTTATCAGTGTTTTATTTAAATTTTTGTAAATCTATCAAGTTATAATTCACACCGATTGTGAAAAAATATTAACTGCAACGTTTCCCTAACACTCTAAAAATTTTGAGGAAATTGTTTTCCTTTATAACTAAATAAGGGTGTTAATTGTGATCTTGGTTTGATTGATTTTAACCCCTTTTACATAAAATTAGCCAGGTAGATGAAAAAAGTTGTAATTTTGGAAAATTTCTTGATATTTTAATTATTAAGTTTTCATATCAGATTTCAAAATTGATATAAAAGTTACTAAAAATATATAATCAAATATATAATCATCAAAATAAATCTTATCTGATTTTAGAGCCTAAATACAAAAACATCCAAACACTTATCACGGCCACTAAATCAATATAAAAAGCATTAATTAAATTATGGTTGTGATCAAACGCTTTAGCACGGTTAAAGGATCTGCAACCAGAAAGCGCCAGCAGCACAGCGGTGGCGCCGAAAGATGACATCACAGAGAGCGAGCATCTATTGTGCGTGCACCTTGGACGCCGGTGGCGTATAATAATTCATGCGAGTAAACATAATCGTCGTTTCATTGCGAGCCAATTTCAGCAGAGAAAGGATAAGCCGGGCGGATATTATGCGCAAAAATAGGCACGCAGAGGATGAAAAAAGAGTTTGCTGAAAACCGGCCGAAAACATGCTGCAGGCTTTACGACTCCCCTGTTGCAAAGTATAATTGAGTTTTACTGCCAAATTATCAGCACCGCGTGTTCTTTTATTGCTCGGTGGGTTAATTCGAAACGTGTTATTTTTCTCCTTTCACATATTTGGGGCTGAAAGTTGCCGCCGAACAAATTATCAACGCGGGCGCCTCCATGAATTTGTTTGTTTAATTCGGATTCGCGTCGGAGCAAATTTGTTTCGAGTTGTGTGCGCAAATAAAAGCTTGCGTGTTTTCTCGCCATCCAATTAGCATAGAAATCTCATTAATCAGCTTTAATTAGGCCGCGCCTGCCGAGACACGAGGCGAAACAAAGAAGTTGGTAATGGAATGTGTTTGTCAAGACGCCGCGTTTGCTCGGCTGGCTCATCGCGATAATTCGAAGCGGCTTGCTTGTCGCGACGAGTTTGCAAAAGCGACGAATGTAATTCCTCATAATAAGACTGCGCGTAATTGGAAAACGTGACACAAAACTTGCAACTTCTACAATTGAAAATGATAAAATATATTCCATATATTTAACTCTTTCTGCAAATTGATATTTCATTCCAGAATGTTAAAAATTTATTTCTCTGAAAATGATTTAATTTTTATTTTAGCCTCATAAATAAACTTCATAATTCCATCGAAATTTATATGTAGTGATTTCATAAAGCAATTAAAAAAATTGTATATCTGATATTTATTAATTAAATTTGTGTTTATTTATATCAGAATAAATTGTGGCTTAAGTTCAATATTAATTATTAAGTCCTACCATATAAATTAAAAAGTACAAACAAATTATTAATTTTTTATGTGATTATGTAACATATCTTATTAAAATAAGCAGAATTATTATAAAAAAAGTTAAATTATCACATATGAAATCCACCTAAGTGTTACAATTCAGAATTATTATAAATTTAAAATTCTTACTAATTCGTGGCTGATTTAAAAAGGAACAATTTAACATTTAGATTCTCCTCCATTTTAGTGAGTTTTTTTTCAATTACTGCAAAAATGTTATCAAAAAAGCTTTGTATGCTCTCCCCTTTTTAGTTAGCTAGTAAATCCATTCTTTTCTGATTGAAAAGCTCTTATTTGAAATCGAAAGTCAAGCTA